AGGGTTTAGGGTTTAGGGTTTAGGGTTTAGGGTTTAGGGTTTAGGGTTTAGGGTGTAGGGTGTAGGGTGTAGGGTGTAGGGTGTAGGGTGTAGGGTGTAGGGGTTATTTATTCTCTCGATACAGGTCCTAGAAAGGCCCTTAAGCCTTCCGTCAAGGGATACAATAGTCTATGCGCCTTAAAACGATTCCGCCTACAGGGGCAACTCTCGAACAAGGACACGCACCGCCCTAGGAGCTTACTGGAGGCCTATCCCTAGGAGCCTACGGTAGAGGGGTACCTCGCTCATAAGAAAGCGCCCCCACCCTAGGACCCTACAGTAGGCCTATGCCTAGGGCCCTATGGTGGTCCTAGGGGGGGAGCGCTTTCTTGTGAGCGAGGTACCCCATGTTTTAGTCCTTTAGTCAACTTCCACGAACAAAGGTCAGGTTATGAGGCACCTCCTGTCAAAGTTGACAAGTCGACTTTAGAATCGGCGTGGACGGGCAGGGAAGCGGGACAAAGGGAAGGGTTTTGTCGGCGACAGGGGCGAAATGGCAGGTGTAAATGAAGCCACCAAGCTGCCGACGCAGCCACACGACTATGGCGCCAGCAGCTACGCGAGCAGGTCCTTGTGTGCAAGTGTTTTGTTTTGTTTTCCTGCTTGGAGTATGAGCTGGAGATCTGGCTTTCACCCGCCTTGTACCTCTTCTGGGAGGCAGCAGCCGCAGCTCCACGACGGACCCAAACGCGATCGCGCCCACTCCGCACGTCCGAGTCCAGAAATATGAGCAGCCCCAGCAACCCGCCAAGTCACCAACGAACCCTGCACGGTGAAGCCCTCGACATCGCACAGGTTGTCGAAGCGCTCGGAGAAGGGCGGCGGGCTCGGGGCGCTGGAGATCCGCGACAACGAGGGCCTTACCGCGTACAAGATCTTGCGGCTGGCGGACCTGGTCAAAAACTCGAGGTCCAGCTCTTCCGTGCTGCCCTCCAGCTCATAGGGAATCGACCCGAAATTAGGGTAGTTTAGCCTACGGATCTCCTAGGACCAGGCCTACCGTAGGAGGTAGGTCTCCTAGGACCAGGTCCTAGGAGCCCCTCGGCCTATGGTAGGCATCCCGTAGGCTAAACTTCCCTAATTTCGGGTCGTTGAACAACTAAAGCCCTCCGAAGTCAGTGTTTGGATCGTGTAGGTTGGCGGTTATGTACCCTGGGGTATCTCTCTCTCCGAAGTGGAGCAGGTTGACGGCTGGGGAAACCTGAGCTTTCCGCTCTCGGCCTACTGTAGGCAATACCGTATGCTTAACTACCCGGTTTTCAGGACGTTACCCGAGAGCGGAAAGCCGAGACCGACTATTCTTAACCACACGGTGGACTACGGACCTTTCATCATGGTCGACGGGTATTTGGATCGTGTAGGTCAGTATTTGGATCGTGTAGATGGGCGGATGTACCCTGGGGCATCTCTCTCTCCGAAGTGGAGTATGTTGACGGCTGGGGGTCCCGCTGCCGAGTGAGGACGGCATTCAATTTTAAAGGGGTTTAAAAACTTTCACCTGAATCCTAAGGGAAATGGACTTTTAAAATGAAATAGCAGAGGCCAGATTCTGGCCTCAGCTTTTAAACGAACCCCCGGGTGCCTGGATCGCGGCTATCGGATACCCCCATGGAAAAAATCGGGGAACTCCAGACGATCGAAGCACCTCACTTCGGAGCCACCCTGGATGGAACATTATGGTATTTTGAGCATTCTTAAGTCAACTCCCCTTGGAGATGGCGCCACAATGTGGCGCCCCCGTGATGAATGGATCTGGTACAAAAAGGTCTAATATGTATTTTAGTGGTATAAATCATGTCAACTTTTGCGATAAAGGGTTATTCGGGATTGGCCGCAAGTCCCCTCCAGGGTGGGGCTGGTGGGAAGGTCCAGCTGGCTTGTTTCTTTGCTGACGTTCATAGGCCAACGTCCTGAAAATCGGGTAGTTAAGTATACGGCATTGCCTACAGTAGGCCGCAGGGCCCTAGGGGGGGTCCTATGAAACATAGGTCCTAGGAGCCCTACGGCCTACCGTAGGCAATACCGTAGGCCTAACTACCCGGTTTTCAGGACGTTACCCTGTTAACATGAAAGGGATCGGGCGGACAGTGTCTGGATGAGGAGCCCTGGGTGTTGCACTGAACCCTGGAGTCGAACCCCTGACCCCTTCCCACCCGCCCTCCGAAGCGGAGTGCTTCGATCGTTGGTCCAACGATGGCAGCATCCAGCGTTTTGTGTATCCCCAAAGTTCCCTCTGCCGGGATGGCTTAGATACCACCAGTCCCCCGTACATCAGGTGACTCATTAGAGCTGTTGCTGGTACTAATCGTGCCAGGTTCAGATGTAATCACATTTTGTGTATCCCCAAAGATCCCTCTACCGGGATGGATGTCTAAACCTGGCACGATAAGTAGAGCGCTGTGCAGAGAAGTTGGCCACGGGAAATAATGGAAAATTGAGAAATTGGAGCCATTTTGTCAACTTTTGAGAAATTTGGTGCCATGAAATCCTCAAAAGTGGCCAAAATGGCTCTAATTTCCCTATTTTCCCATTTTCCGGTGGCCAACTTCTCTGCACAGCGCTCTACCAGGGAAAGCTCGAATCAGTCGACTGACGTACAGGAGCCTCTCCACGCGTCGCTGATTTCTGGCGACCCCTGGCATACGCAAGCCTTTGACCGATCTCATACGGAAACACTTTTGATTTATAAACTTGGTTCAATGAAATGTTCTGATCCGAACGCCTGCATTGGCGGGCGGTGTCAAAATACCGGTGTTTGGCGGTGGTGTGTTTTGACAGCGCGGTCGGTCTGGCGCATATTCATCTCCACAAAAGTATTAATTAATTGCTTTTGGTGCAACGAAATTTACTACACAAACGCTTTACTATTACTTTTATG